GAAAGCTAAAAACAAGTTAATACCAAGCTTTAACTTCATAGGGTTCCCTTGGCTGTTCCCAGCCTTGCCCTTCTTCCTTTACCTTCTTTAACACACCCAAATCCTCTGTGACGATCTGAAAATTTTGAAAATCAATATTCGAGTTGGCATATATGAGGTAGAAAGTCCCAACACTCAATATAGACTTGAGACAACTTCCAATTGAGGGGAAAATAATGTGAGAAAAATAAACTTTTCCAAGTGAACAAACTTTTGAGCAAGGTAAAAACTTCCCCACTAAAAAAGAAGAAAAATAGATATCCTCGAAATAAAATAGTAAAAACTTTCCCACAAGCGTTTTAACTTTAGAAATCCCACAAAACTGTGAGATCATTTGAATATAGCAATCACAAGAAAATATATTGGGTGCATTGCCTTTAAGAATTAGAGTTAAAGTACACCATAACTATTATATTTATTAATTAGTAAGTATTCAATTCAGAAATTAGAAAAAAAAAAAACGCATCCTACCTTAACTTTAGAGAAATCAATCAACTCAATCTCAAAATGAAGTTCGTCATCCTTGGGAAAGCCATCGGTAAGTGCCACCGGGCAATCTTCTTCACCATAATGCAGTTCAGGTTTCACCTTGAACTGTAATAAGATACAAAGAAGACAAACATTATAAGCTAAATGCAAACCGAACCAAATCAAATCAACTTCACGAGTATTCTAACACACTAACAGCAGCAACACTGTCTGATTCATTTCGTGCAGAATTACGGTTTAGCAAAAAAAAAAAACTACCATTGCAGCTTCACCACTCAACATTGTAGGAATGCCTTCCAAAAGTCCCAATAACATCTTGCTTTTACCCAAAACCTGCCTTTTCGGGATACCTTTGCCTATAAGCAGAAATTGTAACCATAATCACTGGAATTTCTGAACAGAAAAGTTCACACTACATGAAGTCTTGATTATGAAAAGATCACTTTCTTTTTTTCCTAAGAACTCACCCCCAAAATCTGCTCGAGTAGACTCGACAACAACTCCGTCGAGTGTTCGAACTGTGCAGTGATATACAACCTGCAGAAATTAGCTCAAATCTGCTAAATTTGCTCATTTCATTACTATCTCTTATCAACGATGAACAATGAGAAAAAACCTGATCACCATCAGATGGGTTTTTATCACCAGCTCCTGGCCTTATCAGAGCTTTCATCAAGCTTCCCGGCTTTATTTTCTTTCTCCTGCAAACAATTCACTGCGTGATTTTTCCAAGAACTTAAGATTAAATTTGCCCAAAAAAAAAAAGGGATATTAGGGCTCACCTTTTGTCATCTTCAGAAGGCGGCTTTTTCTTCTGGGGTTTGTATTCCGGCTCGGAGTCATCGATCACGGCCATGTTATCACTTTTCAGAGCAGAATTTGCAGACAAGTTTGCTTCTTTTTTTTCAGCTCAATCTTGGGTTATTAAGTGAAGGGGGAGAAAAACCCTACGCAGAAGGCAATAATGGGGGATTAGGAGAATAATTGATCAACAAAATTAGGTGAAAATTCGTTGGGAAAATTGGATCAGCTCTTTGATTTTAAAATTTCCAACTGGTACTTGAGCATATGTTCTAGACATTATCATAAAATCAAAATATATTGACATGTAAATTTAATCACAGATTAATAGTTATACAATCATATTATTTTTAATAATTATTATCAAATAATCCATTTTCAAAATGAGTTATTTTGATTAATTAGAATAAATTTTGAAAAAAAAGTGGTATGATTAGTTATTAGTGGATTTTTTAAGAATGTATTGAAATAATATTTAAAGTAAAATGATTAATATTGATTTGATATAAAAATAAGAGATAAATGATTAGAAATGATAATGTAGTTAATTATGTGAGCGAATTAATAATGAATTAAAGTTGACGTGATTTGTAACAATAATTGGTTTGTATTATTTAAACATATCAATAATATCAAAGATAGCGTGAATGAATTAAAATTGAATTATATTTTGAGTATGAATTAAATGTGAGCAAATTATTTGGTAAACTAGTATTTAACCTTAACATAATTGTATGTTTTACACAAGAACCAGATAAGTATAAAGTATCTCGTCTCAAAATGCACTAACATGTAATATCTTGTCGCTCTTATATGGTTTTTCTATTAGGAGTTTATGAGTTTAATTGCATTCAATGTGTTACAATAATATATTACTTATATTAGTATGGTTCTTCTATTAGAACTGGGAATTTCTCGGTTGTGGAATGCACAACTGACCCATAATATCAAAATATTTGTGTTTGAATATTATATTCCCAAATTTTACACAAGTAGATTCAAATTGTATAAAAAATTATCAAAAAAATAACTTATGTTCACAAGCGCACTAAAACACTGATGAAATAAAAAAATTACCCAGCAAAAAATTAATCTAACTCAAGAATGTTAAAACACGACTTCACTTATAACTCTCTCTTTAACAAACTTCCATGAAATTGGTAAAGAAAAGAAAAGGTTAAAACATAAACATAAGTTATGGATGGTCAATCTCCACAATAATGAAGCAATGGAGTTCAATGTAATCTACAATTCCAATATGGTGTAGGGGAACGTACGGATGTAAAGGATACGAATGAGATCTCAATCTCAAACACAAATATGATCGGCTATGATAGACAACAGATAAATATATAAAGTCCTCGCCAGCTACTTATCTTGCCTAACAAGCTAGGCCAAATATTTATTTACCTACCAAAATAACAATATCAACTGAGGAAGTAATAATAATAAGAATAATAATACTTAGTAATAATTATTTTTTTACCAACTAAATAATATACACTAGGGGAAATAATAACTAATCATGAAAATAAATAAACATCCTAAAGCCGGAGCCGATCATATTTCTCCCGATATGCGAGGGCGATCACGTCTCACATCACAATATCAACGTTATCTTCCCAATTTTTATACAATTTGTGAAGTCTATCAACTTCCATTGCATCATTCGAGTAAGATTGGTATACCAAAGTACAAATAGAAAGTATATTGATTGTTGCCAATGTTGACAAAATGTACCTAAAGAGAACAAACAACAACATTTGATGGAAAAAGCTTTCGTTTTGGAGAAAACATGGACAACATATTTTGATTTCTAAATCATACACTAATTAACTTCATTTTACTCTCACCCTATTTTTTATTGTTGGATAACAAATTGTGATTACCAAATCGCACCATCTCTAGCGAGCAATAGCAAGCTACATAGCGAGCTATTTAAAACAATACTTAAAGTATACACAAATGTAAAACTATTAAAAAAAAAAAAGTATAACAGTAACACTGAACGATAAAAACATAAAAATCAATAGTAATATCAAATGACAGAAAATAATATCTGTAAATATATGAAGGAATACTTGTGCTTATTGCCAAAGCTTCATTCAACAAAATCAACAATATAGAGAAGTCTGCAAACAAAATGTGGATAAAAGAAAACAGAAAATTATAATAACAGTCTAAATCTATAGCAAATAAATTCTCTATTTAAACACACACATACGAAAGCCAGTGTTATTAATGGCGGACGGTGTTACATGGTGGTTTGCCAAAACTCCGCCGTGGCGGCCTATGGCACCGTCGTGGATGCCATACTTCACAAATTTTGTCAAAATTCAGCCACGCCATACTGCCATTGCTGCCATTTGATAACACTAATAGGAAAAAATAACAGACATTAAAACACCTACTATGAAAGAAATTAAGGTTGATTCCATTTCCAGACATTCATGGACTACTCAATTGACGCTTGAATAAAAGTTTAGACCCAATCAACGAATAATGGTCTGAATAAAATTGGGCCTACGTCTCTCAAAACCCAACCCAAAAGATTTAACCCAACATTAAAGAATGCCGTGAAGAAAATTGGGTCGGGTTGACCGACATAACCACTTGTCAAAGCCCAATTGTTTGTCTAGTTGCATTGGCACATTTAATAGAGTCGATAATGATATCAGTATTAGACTTCATATCATTTATCTGTTATCATTTTTCTTCAAATCCAAAATATTTAATTTGGAAAAAAAAAAAAAAAAAAAAAAAATTACCAATTTCAGACACCAATAAAAATTATTGTCCCAAGCAAAATGATTTTTTTCATTTTTCTATTGACATCACCTTTTAATGATTTCTAGGCCTCGTCTAGGTGCCGCCTCGGCCCCGTCTAGGCGTTCTAGGCGCTAGGCGTAAGCAATCACAAGCTTCAGCAAGTGACTTCCATCTGAAAAGAATGTGGAGGATCTCATGGAAGTTAACTATTGCAAGTAAGGTTAAATCCTTTGTTTGGAGCTGCTGGAAAATTTCATAAGCTCTAAGGTCAATCTGGAGTCTAGAGGTATTGTCCAAGATAGGAGATGTGAAGTCTACGGTGAAAGAGAAGAACCTGTTGGAAACGCTCATGACGGCACTGGTTTTCTCTTGATAACAAAGATACCACATTTCAAAGATGGTGGATGGAGCTTTGCAACATTCAAGAAAGGCATTGCATAATTGAGAGACTGTCTATATCTGCACTTCTGATCTGGAGCTTGGATTTAGCTACGTCTCGGGATTGGTCAAGTTTCACTTGTTACATTCACGACAAAGACTTGGTGGCTAATCTTCGAGAGAGGACGGTCTCTGCCTCCTATCCATGGCACATCACCTCTACCACATTTTCAATCTAGCTTCCAATACGGAGTTCTGTTCCTTTGCTTTTGATTCATTTTATTTGCGGGCATGGTTGTGTACATTACTTCCTAATTGGGTTCCATCATGGGCATGAAATTGTATGGTGGAATCCACCGTGATCATCTATATATATATAATTACTAGTTCATGTGCATTTAATAAAATCTCAAAATTTTTCCCTCCAAAAGAAGTTACTTTGCATTAATTAAGTATTTATTTATTTTTATTTATTTTATTATATAGCAATTACTCCTAACAAATCATAAAGCCACATTAAATGAAATTATAATTTAAATTTTTTTCAAACTATTTATTTGATTTTTTTTTTTTTTTAACTCATTAAGCAAGTGTTTTTTTTATCAACATTAGTTATTTAATTTTTATGATATAACCAAAATTTTCAAAATTTCGATACTATAAGAATAATTATTTCAATATTATTTTATCTAATCAATTGTTCATACTAAAAAAGTATTGCAAAAATTATATAACTGCAATCGATATAAAAACTAATATGTAAGTTAATAGTTTATCGTTCATTTTTACTAATGATAAAATTTATAAAATGTGATATGCTATTATCTAACTTTTGATTTTAAATATTACATACACATACATATAACATATAAACTTATATTTACATCTGTGCATGTGCACAGGATCGAATACTAGTTTGATTTATCGGTTGTATTATACTCATTGAATTTAAATGCAATTTATCGTTTATCGTGGCAGGGATCAAGGTAGACTGCCTTATTAAATTATAGGCTTATAGCCTCTTTTTTATAATGATATTTATCAGTACATATAAAAATGTCATTTTTTTCATAACAGAAGAAGAAAACCGTTGAATGTAAAAAAATATATAATAGATATCTTCGTACAAAAAGACTTTGGTCGTGTACAAACATATAGTAGTAGTTTATTATTAATGCATGATAATACATTTATCGTACAAACAACTCCAACAATAATTGTAATACTAATAATAGTTATGAAGAGAGTAGAGTAGGTTATTAAAACACTTGTTTATGGAAAAGTAGTATATGTCATATTAGTTAATTGAATTAGAGAGTTTGAGGGGATTGCTAATAACAGTTAGCTAGGAAGAGTATGATGATATTGGGAAGTCTTAATTATGTAAAATAAGCATTATTATGTCATATAATCGAATGAATTAGAGTGTTTGACCGGCTAACTGAATAAACTAATTTTGTAAAATTATTTAGTGAATCACATAGTTTGTTATGTGCAATTGACATGGCCAAAACACGGGTGTCGGGCCTCTGGGCTCGAAAACAGGGACCCAGACGACACCGCACTGATCTATGCTCGTGCCGGTTCAATGGCCCAGATAATCAGGCCGTGTCGAGTACGGCGGGTCAGGTGGGGGGTGGGCCGGCCCGTGTTTTGGCCACGTCTAATGTGCAAAATGCTAATTCACTATCTACTAAATTTCAATCCCTAATTTAACTTATAATCTATAAATACCAAATAAGTTTGTACATTT